GCGCTGCGTCGAAGCTGCTGCTGCCGCCACCACTGTGGCTGTCGCTGTTGGCCAGACCCTGGGCGGCCTTGGCCCGGAGAGTTGGGGGACTATGGGTGAGAAGAGAGCTGCCATACTAAGCATAGGGAGCGGGCCTGAGCTCTGCTTTCCAGTGACCCCAAAGGGATGTGGGGGTAGGGGCCTTCGCAGCGCAGCAGAGCCCTCTGCAGAGAGGGACACCAAGTCACGGCCACCCCTCCCCTGCAGGCCCCAACAAGACCCAGACCCAAACCCAGAACGGCCCACATGCCGCCAGGCTGGGCTGTCTCCTACCGCAGAGCCCTGGCCGCAGAGGAGGGTGAGGAAGAGGAGAGGTGGTGCAGCAGTAACCCTTAGCTGCAGAAGGGGCTGCCGGGGATGAGGTCGGGGCGCCGGCAGCAGTGGCGCGGAGCAGCAGACACCTAGCCGGTCCCTCCCCTCGCTCCCGCCGCTCCCCCTCCCAGCGCAGCGGCTCTGGCCTCAGATGATCCCGCTCCCCCCTCCCCCCAACCGCAGCCCCGCACAGTCGGGCGGGCGCACTCACCGGCGGGGGGAGCTGAGCAGAGGACGGCGGCCGCACCAGGGCCGGGGTGCCCGCAATGCCTGTTCCAGTTGGCTATGCCCTTCCCCCCAAACAACAATCAAAAAGAAACCCCCCACTCACCCAAAAACCTTCCACCAGCCCGCTTTGGGACCCAGACTGCCTGCCTACCTCCCCCTCCTCCTTCCGAGATTTGGGGAAGGGGGGCAACTCTGCTTAGGGCTCAGCCCAGTCTAGGTTGCTGGCCAGCTCTGCAGATGAACCAGGCCCTGCCGAGCCTTCAGCCCCTAGCCCACTCTTCTTCCTCTCTGGAAGGACCCAGAATGGAGGAGAAAATCAAGCAGGCTTTAGGATATTCACGAGCTAAAAATGCCAGGAATTTCCTGGGAAACGCAGTTCCTTACGGGATTCATTAACACAGGTTCACTCATCATTTTGCCCCTCCCAGAAACTCCCGAGTGTCAAGGAGAGCCCCCACCTCTCAAAAAGTAAAACATTAAATGATTGCTGCTTTTTTAGGCAGACAGCTAGGTTACCGACCATTAGTTAACCAATGAGTCTTTGGACAGTGACAGCTAAAGGGGTTGTCTCTAGTCTCAGAAATCATTGATTTTTCTCTTCCTACATTTGAGGCATAATCTAAGGCCTATTTTCCTTCTCCAAAATATATAGCGAATGCTCATAACTACCTCACTGAAGCCTGCAGTCCTAACAGCTGTAGGAAAGCTAAGGCCTATCTCCAGAGGACCCCCTGCCAATGTCCCTACCCTCTACCCATCACCTTCTACAGGGGGCTCAGAAGGTACAGACCTAACAGCCCTAATCCTGACTTTCTCAAGCATGGATTGCTGCCTCCATCCTGAGAAGAGTACGCCTATCCCATCAATGGGTTCCATTCCCACTGAGCATACTGCACCCCCTCCAGTAAGGAGACTTGTCTCCCTCACTCTTAGCCCTGGAAACAGCTGAGTACATGGCTGCCCAAGCTTCCTGGAAAAGAGAGGGGTGAAAATAGTACTAATGATCAAGAAACCCAGACCAGTCCAAGGTATAAGCCTTGTCAATACCTGAGCCTTCAAAGCCCTAATATTTCCCTTCGCAACATCCTGGGCAAACCTGCCTGCTAGGTATCCACAGCTTTCTTTTTCTCTTAGCAAGGGCCCCATTCTACCCAGCATTAGTTACTTCAGCTCTAGGCTGACGTTCGCTACTCCTATTCAAGAGATAACAGGGCAAAAAGCACCCTGGCTACCAAAGAGCCAACTGAGGTAATCTTGTGAGCCAGCTCTAGAATCACTCACCTGGCCAGTGGTCCTGGAAATGACTTCCTAATGGGGAAGCCCACTAAGAGGTAGAAATCCAGGCTTTGGGCACCATAAAGAACTTGCCCTTAGTTTGGGGGGCATCCTCCAGTATCACATAGTTCCCTTTCAATGCTGATTTTCCTGCACTCCCTCTCCTGTCGGGAAGGGGACGTAGGAACTATAAGCGCACTTCGAGCCACACAGAAAAACGTATAAAGAAGCGGAGGCTTCTCCAGGCTCCCATAGCAGCGATCAGGACCCTGGATAGACCCCAGCCCCAAACGGACGCAAACGCTGAGTGGCAGGGTCTCCTTACAGAACCCAGCGGAGCAGGGGCATTTTGGTACCACTTGTAAGCTGAGGGTAAGATCTGGTGAAGTCCGAGCTAGAAGAGTCGCTGCTCTTCCTCAAGTGTTTATCCTGCGCTATACCAAGCTCTTGCCCCCTCAGAAGAGCGCAAGGCAGCAACAAAGCCAATAGGATTGCGATGAGGGGGCACGCGCCAACCCGCCAGCCTTCTTCCGTGCTAATGGTCACTTCCCCAGGGCAGAAAACTAGGGCTTTAAGCAGTCAGCCTTCTTGGACCACCTTTGGAGTCTAAATTTCTTGCCCTGTCCCAAATGATTATGTTCAGGGGTTCTGAAGCAATTTTAGTTTGGGAATGTTCTGATTTTGTGAAAAAGTGTATCCAGGAACCGAGTTCTTAGTTCCCCAGTACAGAAGTAACTGATGACATTTCTAGACAAAACATAAGTTAAATATCATTTGAACGATTAAACTGGGAATATTAAGCTCAAATAAACAACTGAAACCTGGATCTCTCTGCATAAATATGTACTTACTTATTTTATGCTATTTATTCTACATGTATATATATAAAATTTTTGCTATTATAAACCAGCTTCCCACCTACTTTTTAAATGTATCTAAAAAAGCAAATGAGAGTAATGCCTTTTCCAAAAACAATTCAATGAAAAATTTGATATTTAGTACATTTTTTCACTGCTCAAACAAGAGTTAATTGTAGGATAAGCCTGTAAATCTGGACTTTCGGTCAGATTGGGAGGGTGGTGAAAGGTAGTTTTTCTTAGGTTATAGAATACAGTAGCCTTAAAAAGATAATCTAAGAAGAATGAATAATGACTCAGGGAAAGTCTTAAAACAAAAAGTTTGAACCTTAAGTAGAATTTCAAAGTCAGATTTTCATCCTAACATTGAAAATCCATTAGAAAATTTGTGGATTTAAAATGACTTCTAACCATTGGTTAACTACCTAAACAATATACTAACTTGGTAAATGAAAAGCCAGTTTTAGTGTCTATCTGTTTAAATATGTAATTTTAAAATAAGTAGTTGTAAATTTAAAATTTCAATGCAATGTAGGAAATAGAAAAACGAAATATATTATATTAATATGCAACAAAATGTGTTAATGAAAAAATCATAAAAGATTCCCTTTTTCAAAGTATGCTTACATTAAAAAATGATAAATGTCTCTAGATTTCTTGTGCTTTTAGTAACACTAACAGACATTTTGAAGAGAATAGATTGCTTTATTTTTAATCCCATCATCTGTCTTTAACAAACTCTTACCAACAAAAAATTGTTTGCAAGTGAAACAGATATTAGGCAAAACCAAAAAGAAAAAAGCCTCAATTTCCCTCAGCCTGGACTATGGGTGATTCTGAAATAACCTAATTCAGCTTTGCTTTTTAAAAGTAAAAATTAGCACATGCATTTATAAAATAAACTTGGAGACAGGGGATCTTCTTCTGGATAATAAGCCCGTTTGATTATAGAGTTTCCAATAGAAACAATATACGATTAATATTTCACAAAATCACAATTTCTAAAATAAAAGAGAACAAGAACACTAAAACATGTTTTCAAGTGCTGCTTAGGTTAAATGCCTGTCTTAAACTAGACAATTATCTTCAATATCCAAATCATTAAAACTGGAATGTTGTACTGCAAGTGTTCAAAGTGGAGAAATTACCACTTCTCATGGCTATCTACCAGAAAAATTATGGGAGACTCTCAAGTAGATCTTAACATTTAATGACAACAACTAAGGCTAATAGTAATATTATTTCACCAATCATTTTAAAAAATGCGCATCCCCTTTCTATAGCTCACCTGAACTTTAATATTATGCCTCTTCAATGCTATTTTAATGCGTAGGGTTAAAGATATAAATTTAAAATCTGAAGAGAACAATCCATGTAATAGAATCTTCGCCTTTCACAAAACGTTTTCATTTTAAGCATTCTCAGAAGAGTTAAATAAACCTACCACACATTCTAAATTAGACAAAAATTTTCAGAAAACTGACATTTTATGTACCCAACAGGTCCAAACAGAACCAATGCAAAGGTCAATAGCTCTCTCTCTTCCGGAAGATACTTAAATGGTTTTACTAGTACCCAAAGGAATGAAATCAGCAACTCCCTCCACACACTAATCAACACTCCAATTCTCAAAGCCGAAATCTGAAAACGTCCGTTTGGGAGGGAAACAGTGGGGGGTCTTGAAGTAATAAAAAAAAAAAAAAGCCTTTTCTTTTCTGACAGTCTACCCAAAGCTGTCAAACCCAATTTAGCCTATTGTAAAGCACTAGAACCTCCCTTCCAAGGACGCGAGACACAAACACAGATACCGCTGCAAAAAGCTGCCCCAAAGCGCCTGGTCGGACGGAAACGTAAGGGGCCCAAATAAGAACGAATTAGAACCCTCAAGAGGGTCTGCAGAGACAGCGAGATTAAGGTGGCATTTATTCAGGGGTAGACAACGAACCAAAGAAAGTTGCCCCAGTCGGACTCTTGGGCCTTTCTCTATCCAAGTTCAGGTTCAAGGCAGATATATCTGCGGGGGTGGGAGGTCCCTGGGTCCTTTCCCCTACACACATCTCACCCGCCTCTGGAGCGCACTGTTGCTCAAAGGGAAGCCCCTCCGGCTTCACAACCATTCCTTTGGCCCCCATCAAAGGCAGAGGAGGCTGTTGAGCTGACCTAGCTCTGTGGGGCAGCAAAAATGCCTTGCGCGGGCCACCCATCCTTGGGCCTGGCTTCATCTGCGATGTCAGCATGAATGTTATTATTTTTCATTTTTACAACGAATCCTGGGCGGGTGTATGTATTACGGGGGGGGGGGGGGAAGGGGGAGGTTGAACACAGGAGAGGAGGGGTTGGTAGTGGAGCCTAGAACCCTCCTTCCCCTCCCCTTCTGCCAGGGTTGCTGTGCAGGGAGTGTCGGCCACGTTTGGCGCACTGTCCCAGGCCCCGGGCGAAGGTGGCCAGGGAAAATAGGGCTTAGGGATTGCTAAGCAAACGGGCACCACTGGTGGTCTCCAGTGCCTGCGGAGGTAGGATTGTTTTCTTTCTTTAAGGGGCGTGTTGTTTTGTTCTTTTTTGGAGGTGTTCATTCTTGCGCGACGGGGGAGGGGGGGCGTTGCTGCACTGCCAGGGTCTCCCGAGGGAGGGTGCGGGGATGTCTAATACACAGACATAATTACTAGTACAGTAATTATTCCTGGGGGGTAGGAAGGCGATTAGAGGGACGGGGTGGGCTCGAGCTGTGGCAGTGGCCGCAGGAAAGGTCGCGAGGGGCTTACCCGGCGGGCGGGCGGGCGGGCGCTGTCCTGCCGCAGGTGAGGGAGGGCGCGCGCTCGGCAGGCGCGAGGAAGGGGGAGGAGGGCGCGCGCGCGCCACACCTGTCCTGGACAGCGGCGCGAGCCGAGCTGCGCTTCGCTGGAGCTCCGCTGCCCGAGGAGGGAGGAGGGCGGGCTGGCAGGCGGGGGCGGGACGCCGAGGGGAGGAGGAGGAGGCGACTCGGAAGGCTGGCTCGGCTCTCGCTCGTTCTCCCTCCCGCGGGCTGGCCCCGCTCACACCCGGCTTCTCCCGCTCACTCACAGCCCCCTGGGCTCTCCCCCCTCCTCCTCCTTCCCCGACGGGATCCGCTCGCCGCGGCCGCCGCTGCAGACGGCAAGTCGTGGCAGCCAGACGTCGGCGCGTAACCCGGCGCTCCGTGCGTGACTCCGGGCGACGTCAGCGCGCGCCCCGCGCTACCCACCATTTTCCCCCCTCCGTGGCTCTCGCCCTCCGCCCTCACGTCCCTCGGATTCAGTTGCGGCGGCGGCGGCCGCGGAGCGCGCTCCCTCCGCCCCCATCTTGCGCGTGCGCGCGCCCTCCACCGTCGGCGCGTCAACAGTCAGCGGCCCAGGCCTGGAAGCGCGTCTGAGGAGGGGGCTGCCCGCGGACTCTCTGCCCGCACTGCCTCCATCCGCCGCCGGCAGCGGCCTCTGGAGGACTTACCCTTCTTGGGATTTGAAGGCCGAAGCCAGGCTCTAGCGGGAACGGGGCCCTGCAGGGCCTGCGTCAGCTCCAGTTTAGGGCCCTCAGAGTCATAGTTGGTGCAGCTACCAGCGCGTCACCCTCCCTCCGCCCCCCTCCGGCCCTCGTCCCGCCCTCATTTCTCTGGAGGCAAAGGGCCTTTTATCTCCCGGGAGGGTCTCACCTTGGCCTTCAAACGCCGGTCGGGCGGGGCTGGAAGGGCAGAATTAGCGTAGAGGAAGGTGGGTCGGCCGCGTTCGGGTTGTCGCCCCGGGAATCCTTGACAGGAAGTGTGGGGTTTGCTGCCCAGCCTCCCACGCAGTGTAGGTGAAACTGGGCCCCTTGGAGGGACTGTGACTAAGGACAAAACTCTGATAAATATTATGTGTGCGTCCTTGGGCCGAGAGGGAGAAAGCAAAAGGGGCGAGTTAATTTTTCATAAATTGCTATGCAGAGATTGAAATGCACAGCTATAAAATGTCCTCTTAAGAGTTGCCTTGAAATCGTACCAAGTTTAACAAGATTTTTGGTGCACGGCAACTTTTTTCCTGGCTTCGTATGCTGTCACATCTTCATTCTGCAACACTGCGTGCATAGAAAGTGGATCTGTTAAAAATTATTAGCTACAAAACAAAAAGGAAACTGCTTTCACCATCTTTATCATTTTAATTTCAGAGAAGTCAATAAGCTTACTTTTCCAATAAGCTTATCTAATTAACCTGCGAGGTAAGTAGGAGCAAAGTGAAATTAACCCCATTTTATAGACGAGAAAATTGAGTTACAAAAAATAAGTATTAGTTCACAGTTGCAAGTCTGTCAGTGATAGAGGGAAATATCATAGCTATATTATCTCCCACTTCTTTATCCACTAAATCGGAAATCCCGCAAATGTTTACTTCCAGGTATCTTTTCACCGCCCCCCCTCCCCCCCAACACACACACACACACACACACACACGCCATGTATGGTAGGCAGTGTCTAATGTCTGAAAGAAATGATTTCGGGAGATA